GTATTCAAACCTCTAGAGAGTGCTGTCCTTAGAAAAAAAGCAGTGCCTGTACATCATTGGAAATAATGTTTCAAATTATGTTATGAATCTGCATTTAAAGCTTTATTATATAAAACAAAATAGGAATATTATGTCAAAGGTGCAGCATTCTTCACTATGTAACAGAAAATGGTTGTAAGGGGGCAAATGCCGGTCTCTGAGTTGTAGGCCATTCTCAGTGTGAGATTTAAGGCAGACTTGGGCCTTTGATGCAACCGAAGGGATAGCTTCCCAGTTGGCCGTGAATAGGCCTGGGTCTGTTCTTCTGTCCCTCTGCCCTGAGCTGCTTGTGTGATCTTGGTTAAACCACAGACTTAAAAGGGAAGATTTCCATCCCCTGCTGTGCTCTTTTGTGCTATCTCAGGAACGCAAAGCTCAAATACTTAGCTCGCTTCAGCAGGTAGCTCAAATTCCATCGCATTTCTCTCCCTCTTTCCCCCAAGTATTATCCAGTTCCTGCCTTTCCGTGTCTGTAAGCTGTGGTAAGGAGGATCAAAAAGGAGAACCATTAGTAGTGGCCTTCTTTTGGAGCAAGCAACAATCTATTCTGACCTGCTTTTGCAAACTGAAATTTGTCCAAATTCCTGAGCTGTAACAGGGAGCATGTGTAGACAAGCGTGTATAAGTTTTCAGGCAGTTCATTCTCTATTATGGAAGAGAATCTGCTCAAAATATAGACTTAGAGCCTGTTTTTAAACAACCAACATGAAAACAAAGGTCTTCCCTTTTAAGTCATTTTATGCAACTTCAGTGGACTTGTTTCACTTGCAGATTACAGTCCATGAGTCAAATTGGCCATCCAAAACTAGACTTATCCTGATGCAATGACCTGATGTATTAATAAAGCCTGGAAAAGATTTGAAGTGTGCAGAAGAAAATGAGTAATATGATCAATTGAGTTTATTACACCTGTAATTTGAGCTGTGCTTTGTACCTTCCCCTAGCAACATATAGGAAAATTCCTCTTCCTGATTATGATCCTAATGTTGAAAGTTAGATTTGTGTTGTATGTTTCTAGGTGGGATATCTGAAGCGTTGTCTAAAGTGGTTTGTGAACCTGCCGTTTTTTCACAAGTAGTTTCTCTGTGCTTATAATATTAAAGTATGTTTTGCCTTTTGTTGCTGTAATTGCAGTGGCATTACAGCAGCAGAAGCTGAGCTGATGTACATCCATGAGGTGGAGCGCCTGGATGGGTTTGGGCAGGAGAGTTTCCCTGTGAAGGTATGTTAGAAATGTTAGTATATATTATAAAGGAGCCTCTAAATTAAGTGATACAAGGGTCTGCAGTGACCTTTGGAACGCATAAAAGTTACCAGTGTCGACAAGAAACAGCCGTGTTTCGCTGTTCCAGAAGATGAAGTGATTCTGGTAGTTTGAATGGACTTTCCAGCATGAGGATATCTTAGGCCCCTAGTGGACCCTGTTGCTTCTCTTCCACCAAAATCCTTTCCACCCAAGAGGTCGTATGAGCCAGGGCTGCTCAAAGTCCCTTCTTACTTGGGAAGGTGAGATGCTCCTTGCTTTCCTTTCTGAGTGCTGTCTGAAGGACTGCTTAGCAATCCTCTGCTAGTTAAAGACGGCTCTTAAACAGACAGCACCCCCCCCCACCCCCCCAGCCAAACAAAAAGCCCTTCGGCTTCTGCTGAAGTCGAAAGTGAAAAGATCCTGCCCTTCAGGCCGATTTTGGGAGTTGAATGACAAAACCAAACCCCCAGCAACCCCCAAAATCATGGAACCTTAACTGCCGATCAAAGTTTTCCTCACATTAACACCTTCTAGCGCTGTGGGCTGCTGAAATGACAATTCTGTGTTGGAATTGTCATTAGATATTATTGCGTGTAAGGGAAGTACATATGAGCGGTGGATTGGGTGCTCTCCAGATTGCAGGAAGATGTTATCCTTATATCAGAAAACAGCAGGCTGGCATTGTGGACAAACAGAAATGCATCTGAAGGGGACAGATTAAAAATTTCTTTTTCTGTTCCTGTTAAAAAATTCTATTAGAAATCTGCTTCTTTTGCAAGTACACATGCACACACACACACCCTCTGACGTGCACATATATATAAAAATATGTATTTAGATAGAAATACATAATTTTTCCTCAAAGTTTTTCGCAATGTCTTTGCTTACTAAAGCTGTGTTTGGGACAAAACAGAAGAAAGTTTATTCCTCTAAACGGACTAAACTGAGGCCTGTCGGCTGCTG